TTATTTCGCAGGAAGGCAAGTAAATTGCTTTAGTCATTTTTGTTGTTCCCTTTCACATGCCAACTTATAGTGCTAAGACTGGAAAACCCTTAAACCTGAGCCGAATTTCCTTCTGGCAACATGCTCTTAGATCCCAACTAAGCTAACTCCAGCTCGATATTAATCAAAAGGCCCTCATGTCCCCAACTAGGAAAACTAATGCTACATCACAGAAAGCAAAACCGCAACGAAAAAAACCATCAACTCAAACCTAAAGCAAGTGAACACAGAAGATAACAAAGACGAAGGGATAACCTCCTATCTCCAGGGCCAAATCCTCCTCTCGGACTCCCCCTGCGTCCCTCATATCCGCCATCATCCCTCCTGGACCGCTTATGCGGAGGAGACCTCCGAGGAGGCGGAGAGTGCCTTCGATCCCGATACGAAAGCGGCGGGGGAGGAGGACTGAGACTCGGCCTCCTCTTGTAGTCCCTCGGCGGAGGTGGAGGCGAGCGGTTCCGATCGTAGTAATCGGCTCGGCGATTTGGCGGCCGGTCAGAATCCCTATCGTCCCGCCTTTCTCTGGAATCCCTCTCGCGTCTCCGTGGAGGCGGAGGAGGTTGCTGCTGTTGCTGCTGTTGCTGCTGCTGCGAAGATTGCTGCGGAGGTTGAGAGGAGGAAGAAGGTGGTGCGGCGGAAGGAGTCGGAGACGATGAGTTCTCCTTCCGGTCGCCGCGACGACGGTCGAGCGAATCGACTGGCATGTTGATAACTTCCGCCATTGATGGAAGGTGAGAGGAAACCCTAGGAAGGGAAAGGGAAGAAGATGGGGGAGAAAAAAAAATGCGAGTTGAAAGGTCGATAAATGTGGTTTTATGTGAGAGTGCTTTTTTGGGGTGACAGTAGAGATGGGTAAGATGCAGGGAAGTCTCAAAAATAATTTCTTATTTGCTGGTCATTCGGGTTCTTCAACGGGTATATATATATACGGGTCGGGTAAATGGAGCATTTAATTTTTATTTTCCTAAACTTACACAATATATGTTTGGCCATTATTATTATTTTTTAATAAATAAAAAGTGTAAATTATGTATTAATATAGTATCCAAAATCCACGAGCACGGCCCATGTACAAAAATATATACAACAAAGTTAGTATGTTAATAATAATCTCAAATTACACGTTATTATTAATGTCATGACCTAACAATACTGATCTAAAAGTATGTAACTAATTATTTTTTAATTTATTTAAATTACTTTGAACAGTATCAAAAGCTCTATTGTTTCTCTATTTACATACGATCCAAATGACAATTAGCGGAATAATATTAACAAATTTTATTTTTACATGTAGACCCTCCCAAGCCCAAATTTCTCCCTGACCGAACCCGTAATCACTCAATCAATCCCAAGAAATCTGTAAATCATACACCATAAATAATAGGTTGTTGGACACTACAATAACATATGGATGCACGTTTCCTCAGCCGAAAGACAGCAATAACACCCATTAACAAAGACTCGTCTTTTGGATTTCAATATGTAAATAGTTAAAATTATGTTTCAGCACCCTTCCGTAACAAAAAAGGTCATGCGATGGGGAACTTTCGTCTTCCAAATGATGTTTGTTGGGAAAACACTTGTACTAGCAGCACAATTCTTACACGTGTACTGGTAATAAGAGGAAACTGAAAAAACGTCATTTTTGTCCAATTTATAGGCAATTCGATTATCCTTATGTGAAATCTTTTGAGAATCTAATAGGTGTAGCAGTTCTTCAAATTCATCGACTTCTAAATCATTTAAGTTTCTTTTTAAATAAATAGACCATACAATGATACCATTATAGACTTGGTATGCGTTCTCGCATTTATATCATAATTTTTTAAAAGTGTATACAGCCTGAGAAATTTACTCATTAAGCTCCCATCACCAGCCCACACATTCTCCCAAAAATTAATTAAATTGTCTCTACCAACCTTCCATTAAATGCACTGTCGAAAAGAAGATCACAGCATCATAATTCTCTGCCAAAGACCATGCCTATGAGGATTAGGAATTTTAAGTTTCTTGATGTTCACCGTATACTCACTCCATTTAGCATCAACGATCCGCCACAAAAGGCTATTCTTGTCATCCTAATACCTCCACGACCATTTGCCTGACAGAGCTTCATTAAATTTAACCAAATAGCGAATACCCAAACTCTCAAAAGTACAAATACATTTGATGTCATCCCAATTAACCAAATAACATTTATAACTATCATCACCGTCATCTCAAAGAAAGTTGTGCTAAATAAATTCTAATATTTTAACCAGTTTCACGAGAATAATAATTGTAGATAGACAGTATATTAGTAAATTTACCAATGTACTCTTAATTAAAATATATTTCTCACGTTTTAAAAGAAAACCTCTTTTCCAACCCACTAATCTATTCTCAAACACGTTGATAACTGGTTTCAAAGTAAATTGATCTTCATACTTTACCCAAACGGAATCCCAAGATAATATTCAGGTCATTATTATTTTAAATAATATGTAAATTTATTAATTAAAATTGTATTTTTATTAAAAATGATTAATATTCTAATTTTTAAATATTTTGCAATCCCCGTATTATACATGATTATAGTATAATATTTATTTATTTTTTTATAATACACGTAATCTATTTTTTTAAATATTTATTTTAATGAAAATTATTTTAATTTATTTATAAATTTAACTACTTTATATTGTGAGTATAATAAATTTAGTGAGTATAATATATAAATACAATAACTCTAAGTTTATTTATCCAAATTTAATAAATGATGATAGTATGTAAATTAGATGGTAATTATTTAATATAAAAATTTATAAAATCTAAAA